CAGCCCCAGGATGTAGATCAATATATAGACACTGCTTAGCAAAGGCTCTGCAAAACTGAGCATGTGACCTCTTAATTAAATCTTTATTTATTTTTTATTCCTCACCCCAGGATATTTTTCTATTTATCATTAGATAGGGTGGGAGGAGGGAGGGAGAGAGAGACAGAGAGAACATCGATGTGATAGAGCCACATCAACTGGTTGCCTCCCGGACGACCCAACCAGGGCTGGGTACGTGTTCTTGACTGGAATTGAACCCACAACTTATTGGTCTGCGGGCAACACTCTAACCACTGAGCCAAACCGGCCAGGGCTAAATCTTTTTTTTTTTTTTTTTAATAAAATGGGAAAAGCTTCTATAAAAGTACAGTTTGAGTGCATAGGCTAACGTCTGGCACTTGGTAGGAATCCAGTAAATATCTATTAGATCATGTTGAATATTGAGATAGCTTTCTGCGTATTAAAAAGGTGAATAGTCCTGGAAAAGATAACATTTCAGGCAAAACCTCACCATTTTACCACAGTGAGAATTAAATGAATAGAGCCTCTCCACTGGGAAGGTTTTAATACTATAGGAGGGGAGAAGAGAGAATGAGCATACTGGGCAGGGGTGGAGGTTGGGGCAGAGGTGGCTTTGTGGGGCAAATACCCGTGGTCTTGGTTGTACCTAGTAATAACATGTTTTCTATTCCTATCTACAAGAACCAGAGCATTACAAACAGAAAATGCCAGCCAGTGACAGGCAGCTGTAAACCACAAGTAAATCGGATTTTCAGTTCCCTGAAGAGTTCTGCATGCCTGAATAAGTCAATCCTGGGGCCCTTGATCATAACCACTCCAAAGGTAAAATCAAAGACCAGAGTGGGCTGCAGGAGCCTGGGGGACTGAGTTTGCTGTCACACTGCAGAGGAGGGACAGCAGTGCCACCATTTTTCCTGCAACAGCTGCCCCTATGTGCACACTACCACCCAAAAGGTAACAAGAAATCAGAAGTATGCAAAGCTGAAAGAAGTGGATGATATACTTGGTGGAGCAGCTGCCTGGGAGAAAGCTGACTCTACAGCAAAGGTATGTCCCAAATGTGAATACCGAGGTAACTATTTCATTCAGCTTCAGACCTGCTCTGCAGACAAGCCAATGACCACCTTCTACAAGAGCTGCAATGCTCAGTGCAGACATTGCTGGAGGGACTAGGACCAGATTGGCCCAGCAGCGTCACTGTCTGTTGACCTTATTCCTCAGAGCGGATTCCCAGCTGGGAGCGAGAACTGGTGTCCTGAGGGTCTTTGCTGGTGTGGCAGAAAGCTAACCTTTTTGGGTTGTTGGCCAGGGGGTCAAAAAATGGATAGCCCATCTGCCAATCAGTGGATGAACTCATTAATGTCCAGGGACATTTTTGTGTGTGGGAGGATTATCCACAATTACACTCTGTTTAAGGTCCTGTTCATTCATCTGTAACATTTATTGGGTAACTGATATTATTTTAGCATCAACCAACACACTCTTTTTAAAAAAAAATTTTTTTATCCTTTATTGATTCACAGAGAGACACAGAAACATCAATGAGAGAGAACATTGACTGGCCGCCTCCTGCACACCCCCTATTGGGGACCGGCCCACAACCTGGGCATGTGTCCTCACCAGGAATCAAACCAGCAACTTCTTGGTGCTCAACCATTGAGCCACACCGGCCAGACAACACTCTTAAATATTTATATTGTTTACACAACTGATAAAGTAAAACATAATTTAGTACACTAGCTGTTCCTAAATACTTAATTGTTAACGGCAAAATTATTTAATCAAAAATTATTCTGAATATTTAATTAAAATAAATTGTTTAATATTTAAAAAAACAAAACAGGGTGAATGTGAAGAGTGTACTTCAGTATATCTAAGTTTCCTTCATAGGTCAAGCCAGTCCCTAAAAAGCACATGTTCTATGTGAACTCTCCAAAAGACTCTCAGAGTTCTGAGTAAATTAAATCCAATCAGGACTCAGTGATGGGAAGAGTGAGGTCTAGAACCAATCCCCTCAATCCCACGGCCTGTAGACCAGCTAGCCACCCACTTATGTCAGAAAGGGACATGACTTCTAGGTCTGTCTCAATTTTGACATAATTTTATTATGAATAAAAATTTACAAAAAGGCTGCAAGTCCATGGACAACTCCCTTGCAGGCCACCAGCGATCTCTACACTGCCCTTAAATGATGACATTTAGTTACATTCTAAGTTTGAATGATAGGTAGAAATTGATGGTATTTATTGGACATGCTTTAATCACTAATCTGACATTCTCTTGTGAGAATAAAGAATAATCTTATTTTACTTAAAAATTTTTAATTTTCCTATATTTAAGCTCCACTTATATAAATGTTCAGAAATTGAAAATGAGCACTGAGATGAGGATGGTGCTCTTGGTGACTGAGGCAACATTGGCTACAATGAAGCAGCTCAGAAAAGCACCAGGCCTTACAATTCTGATTGATTCTCTGAGGCAACCTGAGCACTTGAAGTTTGTTTCCAATTATTTGAGCTGCTCTGGCTTCTGTGGTCATTAACACCTATTGGTCTAAAGCAGCAGTTCTCAACCTTTGGGGTTCACAGGGGCTTTCACAGGGGTCGCCTAAGGCCATTGGAAAACACATATTTCCAATGGTCTTAGGAACCCAGACACCGCTCCTCTGTCCTGGAGAGGCAGGTCCGCCCACATGCAGATACGCCCACATATAACAAGAGGAACTGTATTAAAGGGTTGTGGCATTAGGAAGGTTGACTCTAAAGGAATGCCAGGTCCAATTTGATAATTCAGGGAAGTGAGAGCCATGTCCCTTTCATCTCTGAATCCCTCATTGCTTTCATGCAATATACATGTGCTGTGTTTAATTTCATCTTTCCTGAGCAAGGCAAAATATTCAATTGTGTAAAAATAGGTGAATCTCAAGTTAAGTATGTAAGAGTTTACTAAAATAAAGTAGTGGGGTTTTTCCTGGTAAGAATTGCATAGGAATTTGAAGATCTGATCAAAGTGAACATCAGAGTTTAGAGTTTCCAGTCAACTGGAAGACAGTTATCACTTGGAGATAAGTTATTTCTCTGCCAGGTAACAGGCACACACTGGCAGCCAGTGGTTCGTCAGCTGAGAGTGACCTGTATGAGGAGAAAGCCAACAGAGGGCCTAAATGGAATGGAAGCCCTCTCAGGCTGTCTAATCCCAAACTGGCCCCAATCTATGACATCTTTCAAGAAGTGGCCTTTGATAAAAAATTTTAAGTTCTTGTTTTCTCAAACTAAGTGCTTGCTGTTCCCGAATATGCAAGAATAACTTCTACACTTTTCCTCTCCAACACTTGTTGATTGGCTTTGCAGAAAATCAAGGTTTTTTTTTAAAAAAAAATAAGTTAGTTTCCATGAGGTTCTAATCAGATCGCCTTAAACCTTTCTCTCAAGTCAGGTTATCCAGCTCCCCAGGATGGTTTTGGTCCAGAGTGCATATTCCTAGGTAAATTTAACTTTCTTAAGCAAAGGTCTTGCATAGAAATGGGTTCTGAGACAACCATACAACCAGGAGAGTTATAGTAACTATCAAAAGCTGGGCTGTTATTCCATCAAGGAATTACTTGAAATCATGATAACAGAGGTGTACCATGCTTATATTACAAGTAGACCATTCATTCCATCGTCATACCAAAATTTTTCAATAATTCTGAAAAGAAGTTACTATTTAAATAGGAAAAATGCAAACATGCAAGCACACCATCAATGAATGACTCCTAGAGCATCTATAATTAATAGTAAGAACATCAAATCTACCAAAAAGGGTTTATATGTGGTAAGTGCTCAACTATTTGCCAGACTGTTGCTACTCAGCACACAAAAGGCAAACAATATACTAAACATTTTTGTCCAATAAGATAAAATTTTAGCTAACATCTTTCTCATTAGAAATTTAAAACAGTATTCTCAAGATGCCTTCATTATTCAGAGCATTCTCCAAAGGATTTGTGAGCTAAAGGTGACAGATCCTTTATAAAGGTGGCAACCTTTCTAACGAAATGGAAAAATTAAAATGAATTAAGCACTAAGTAATAACAGTAGTGACATGTCTTACATGTTCACGAATTAATCCTCACAAAAATCCTTTATCCCTGTTGCAGGGTGGTGGAAACTGAGGCAATCTGAGTAACTTGCAGAAACATGCTTGCTTATGTGATAAAGAACCTGGGATTCCCACACTCTGCGGCACACTGGAATCATCTGGGGAGGTCTTTAAAACTTCATTCCCAGTCTAACTTAATTGGCCTGAGATGCGACCCAGGCATCAGGACTGTGAAAGGTGCCCAGGTGATTCCAAGCCAAGTCTGGGAAGCGCTTGGTTTTCGCTCTCGACCACCACTAGGCATTAATAAATAGTATTGTTGCAGTTTTGTTGTTTGTCTTGCCCAAGAGTTTCTTCGCTGAGACGCTAAAACCCGGGCAAAGGGAAAGAAAGCAAAAAGGGGAAGAGGCAGCAAGCCTTGCCAGGTTAGGGCGCCGGCTGAGGCCGGACGCAGGCTGCTCGGCCCTGGCCAGGTAAAGCTGCGGCGGTCCCACACCGGCCGGGGCCTCGGCGGCTCCAGGGCCCGGCGGGCAGGTGTCCTGGCGGAGTTCGAGGGCTCGAGGGGGCTCGAGGCCACGGTCCCGCGGGGAGGGGCGCTCCTCTCACGTGACGCCCCTCCTCCGGCCCGCGGAAGCAGCCGGGAGGGGTCCCGAGTGTCCCCAGAACCCCCGGACCCCGGGCGCGAGTCAGAGCCAGCCCGTTGGGACCTAAGTTACTTTGTGCCGCCAGGCCGACACCAGAAAGTTCTTTACTTTCCTCTGCGGGGCGGCGATGGGAGGCGCGGGACAGGACTGGACCGGAGTGCGGGGAGGGGGCCGAGGCGGCGTCCCGGGCGGACACCCAGCTCCTCGGGCCGGCCCAGGACCCCTCTCCCTTTCCGTCCCCCACCGAATACCCACCCGGAGGTGAAATCCTGCTGCACGCTCAGCAGCCGCTCACGCAAGGTCTCCAGCATCGCCGCCGCCGCCGCGTCTCCTCCCTTGAGGTCTCAGACGGTCGCCGCTGCCCTCGGCCCCGCGCACCTGTCACCGCGCGCGCGCTCACTCGCAACCCGCCCCGCCCCCCGCCCGGCCCTCGGTCCCCGGCCCCCCGCCGCAGCCCCTTCCGCGTTGCGCTCCGGCCGTGCTCTGTCGCCCCGCCCCGCCCCGGCCCGCGCAGCCGCAGTGAGCCGCGCCGCCTCGGGCTGCGGAAAAGGGGCGGCTCTTCTCTCCCCGCAGAGAAAGCGAGAGGCTGGGACACCTTTCTCTATCCCAATAAAGGCCTTCTCCGTTTTTTTCTTTGAAATGGAAGTGGTATCGAGAAAGAATGTTTTAACTCGAGAGTTTTTTTTGAGTGCAATGTTGGGTTTTACAGCTTGGAGGAGAATTGAATAAATTCTTGCAAAGCATACACCTATTCGTTTCACAGACTCTGGGTCCAAGGTCTGACTCCACTGGCGTCGACCTTGGATGAGCTAGTTAACCGTTCTGAGCCTCAGTAAGTGGCATTAAGAATCAACTGTTTGGACCTCCTTACTTTCCACTTTCTCTCTCTTTTAAAAAATATGTTTTTATTGATTTTTTAGAGAGAGAGGAAGGGATAGAGATAGAAACATCGATCAACTGCCTCCTGCAGGCCCCCTACCAGTATGGAGCCCACAACCTGGGCATGTGCCCTGACCAGGAATCAAACCAGGACCTCTCTATCCATGGGATGACCTCAATCCACTGAGCCACATCGTGGTTCCACTCTCTCTTAAACCTACCCCATCAGGCTTTGGTGCCCTTCACACCAAAGGAGGTTGCCTTGTCAAGTCACCAGTGACCACCATGTTGCCCATGCCATTTGGTACACATCTGCCCTGACTTTTTTTGGGCTTGGGGTTATTTTGGGTCCACTTCTCAGTGGCTCTCAATGCAGTTCCTTGCCCCATTCTTAAGACATTTTCTTCTCTTGACCTCAAGGACACTATGCTTGCACTCTTCCTTCGGCTCCATGCCTATTTCAACAGTTGCTCCCAAGCTTCATCTCCAGTCTTCCACTTATCTCCACCTGTGCGCTCTGCCTGGATTATTCTGTCCATAACCACGCTGTAAATTATATCAAGACACGATGCTACCCAAATCTCCATCTTCAGCCCTGTCCTCCCCCTGCCTCCTGCTCACACCAGTTGTTTACTCGGCATGTGTAGGCTTCTCAAACATACCCAAAATTGAAAACTTGATTGCACCCTCACCTCCTAACCTGCACATCCTCCAATCTTTTCCATTTTGGTAGATAGCACCACTATCCACAAAGTTGCTCAAGTTAAGCCACTTGACATTACTCCTGGTTCCTCTCCTTTCCTCATCCTATGTATTAATACATCAAGCCAATCAGCTCTATTTCTAAAGTAATGCTGAATGCTGGAACCTGTTCCCCTTTCCTATCTTCACTATCATTACCCTAGTCCAAGGCACTGCCATCTTTCACCAGGAACACTGACAGCTCTCCTGATTCTTCTCGTTTGCCACCTACACCCCTGTGAACCATTTCTGACACAGAAGACACATAAAATTATTTAAAAGAGCAATCAGATCGTGTTGCTCTCCTGCTTAGAATCCTTCAGTTGCTTCCTGTGCAGTAAGCATAAAATTCAAACTCTTTATTTGGCTTGCAAAATCCAGAAATTTGAACCCTTCCTGATACTCTATCCAAAGCAAGTACTACTCACCTATTGGGTCCTTGACGTTTAAGCCACACCAACCTTTTGTGTGTGTGTGTTCCTTGCAAATTCCAGGTTCATTTCTACTTTGAGGCTTTTCACAAGCTTTTCACCAACATGCCCCATAGCTGGTTGTTCATGGTATTTAGCTCGGAGCTTAAATATCATCTCTGTAGATAGTCTTCCCTGACTATTCAAGTTACCCACCCAGTCACTTCCTATCATATGCCCCGTTTCTTAACTTAGTACACATCACTATCTGATAATTTATTTAAGAGTTATGCCCTGGCCGATTTGGCTCAGCAGTTAGAGTGTCGGCCTGCGGTCCAGAGAGACCCGGGTTCAGTTCCCGCTAAGGGCACGTACTTCAGTTGCAGTTTGTCCCTGGCCCTGATTGGGTTGTGTGGGTGGCAGCCACTCGATGTGTCCCTTTCACGTCGATGTTTCTCTCTCTCTTCCTCTCTCTCCCTCCCACTCTATCTGAACAAAAAATGGGAAAATGTCCTCGGGTGAGGATAAAAAAAAAAAATAAGAAAGAGTTATTTATTTACACATGTATTTTTTTTTTTTATCCTCACCCGAGGATATTTTTCCATTTTTTGTACAGATAGAGTGGGAGGGAGAGAGAGAAAGGGAGAGAGAGAGAGAAACATCGACGTGAAGGGACACATCGAGTGGCTGCCACCCACACAACCCAATCAGGGCCGGGGACAAACTGCAACCGAAGTACGTGCCCTTAGCGGGAACCGAACCCGGGTCTCTCCGGACCGCAGGCCGACGCACTAACCGCTGAGCCAAACTGGCCAGGGCTATTTACACATGTATTTTAAAACCAGGGTTGGGACTAGGGTGAGGCAGATAAGGCGTTCATTCGCCTCTGATGCAAAATTTAAGGGGGAAGGGAAAAGCTCAGTAATCAAGATGAATAATATTTTAATGTAATAATTACAAATTTTGAAGTTAGTTGAAAAAAATATCTGTGAAGAAAAAAATATCACAATTTTAAACGAAGACAGGATTTGATAGAGCTGGAATGGGATGACGTGAGGAGGGTAGGCTGCACAAGTACAGATGCTAATGTAAACTGCCCTGACTGTCAAGATTTAACTCTGTTTTATTTAGCTCTGTGTCCCCAGCACCTAAAATAGTAAATGGTACATAGTAGAAACTTATGTACCATTGTTGATTGGTTTGTTCTGGAATTAAATTAGATAAAGTACTCAGCTTATGGTTAGGGAGAACACCTCTCCACTCTTGATGTTTTCTCCAGGTGGAGGAGGTTCCTCCACTAGTCTAACATGCCAGGTTTTTCCTGGTGGAGGAGAGGTGACTGCTGACTAGTAAGCTAGGGACTAAGAAGTCTGGGCCTACACTTGCTTCTTTTTCTTGAGTGCAAACTTCCAACAAAGAGCACTCACTATACGGTCAGGCTGCCAGGGGAGGAGCCTGAGGTGACCCAGTGCTTTCTGTGACTGGGGGGGCAAGTCTTAACCTAAGTTTTAGTAATAGGAGTTTGCTCACCCATGAATATAAGGTATATGCTTCATCACCCTTACCAGAAATGAATGTGTTAGCCATTTTTTGATGATGTTATTGTCTTATTTCTCTGTTGATTCAGACAAGTAAAAGAGAAGGGTACTCTTTATTGAGCCTTCCTCCACCTCCCCAAAACAACCTGGTAAGTGATCAAATGACCAAATCTAGAGAGACAGATGCCTCTGGTACTGGGAAATAAGAAATTGTTTTTTTATTTTATTCAATTAAATAATCTTCACTTATAAACTTCCAATTTCCTAAATTTCATGGGTTCCAACAAAGCACCAAATCAGAACAAAAACACTCTGCCTATCACTAAAAAAATAGCTTTATTCATTGATCACAATCATTTTTGTCTTGACCCCTCATTAGTTTATTAGTTTTCAGCACAGAGCTTTGTTTAGAGGTGTATTATGAACATTCTTAATCCCATCATGTCTGATAAATCCAGAAACAGTGAACTTTTTAAAAGAACTAAAAGAAGACAGTCTATTATTAAGAAAAGCAAATTTTTAAAAATGAAGATAGAATATGACCACTGTCGCATATGAATTGTTATGTAGGAATGATTAAGGACCAAGAGTTGAAGCATGTGACATGTTATGTTGATTTAAGTACCAGAAACTAGAAAGATTGATTGGCAAAATGAAAAGACAACATTTTTTATTATTTATTTATTTATTTTTTTTAGAGAGAGAAGAAGGGAGGGGGAAGAGAAAGAAACATCTATATGAGAGTTAAATATCTACTGGTTGCCTTCCACACACACCCTGACTGAGGATCAAACCCCAAACCTGGATATGTGCCCTGACCAGGAATCAAACTCATGACCTTTCAGTGTATGAAACGACACTCCAACCAACTGAGCCACACAGGCTAGGGCAAAAATACAAAATTTCAAAGTCCAATTAGAGAGCCAACATCAATAATGCAGGCTATTGGCCTAATCTTAATTCAGCAGTTGGCTAAGAGTTGATTTGAGAACATATTAGCAAGCACAGAGAAAGCTTTGGTGATAAAACATCTGGGGCAAACACCAAAGCTGCTGGGAAGTCCCCATGAGCTTCCCTGGACCAGCAGTATCAACATCACCTGAGAGCTTGTTGCAAAGGCAGAATCTCAGGCTCTACCCAGACCCACAGAATCAAAATCTGAATTTCAAGAAGCCCCTCAGGAAATTCATGTTCATGTAGCCTGTGAGAAGGACTGCTCTAGGACACTCGCTGAGGGAAGGGGGTTCCTTTCACACCACTCAATTGGCAGAGGTCTTCAAGAGTAACTGGAAAAACACTGTTGTCCTGTGAATTATAGGAATCCAACTTAGGTTTGAAAGGTATCTACAGTGTGTTATTAACTTATTTATATAATTTTTAAAAAGCTAAGATGTAAATGTTTTTGATATTTTTAATTTAAGAGTTTAAAGGTGCCAGAAGAAACTAAAAGCTATAAGTGAGCAGTGCAGAAACAGGAACCAGAGAGAGGAGGGAAATTCCAACATGCAGGAGCAAAGATTAGGGCCCAGTTGAAGAAGAACTTTAATTTTTTTATTTATTAATTGATTTTAGAGAGAGAAGATGGGAGAGGGAGAGATACATAGAAACATTGATGAGAGAGAACATCAATTGGCCACCTCCTGCATGCCCCCCACTGGGGATTTGGCTCACAATCTGATCATGTGCCCTGAGTGGGAATCGAACCGGCAACCTCTTGGTGCATGGGTCAACACTCAACCACTGAGCTGCACCAGCCGGGCCATTAGAGAACTTAAAAGAAGAGGGTTTGCCCTGGCCGGTTT